TCTGCGCGCCATCGCCGCATAAAAAAAAGAAAATCCTAAACCCAATAACACTGGTCAGTCAACAGCAAAATAGTACTGAGTAGTCAAACAAGTAGCTCTCAGATTGTGTCTCTCTCGCTCTGAGCACCAACTCCTCACCAGCGATGTCGAGTAGTACCAATGGCGCTTCGGGAGAGCGCGGAAAGGAGTACCAGTGCTTGCTCATGCACCCTTCCGCATCCATCGTCCAAGGCTGCAATCATTTCTATCCTTACGGTGAGAGAGCTTTCCCGGGTAGACGACACTGCTGTAGGCCACAGTAGAGTAGAGGGAATCATGTCGCACGCAGGCTCACAAAATCACCCCCTCCTCATTTTGAATGTACACCGGAGGTTCAATTTCGGACGTCGCTCCCCATGGCGCTAATCAACACTGCTGCTGAAGCGACAGCAGCGCAGGGTTTTGACTTTTTTCGGCGCGGGGAAAAAAAGCAGGCTCTCTCACGAACCACATGTTCCAACAAACACATGTCTTTGGGGAGCTGGGCGCGTGCTTGCTTTCTCGTGCACGTTTCACGAGTTTAACACAACCACAGCAGCAGATCGCGTCTTTTGCGTTTTGATACGTAGGATCTGTCCTAGACGCCATAATTTAATGATGGCGCGAACGTAAAAACTGCCGGCTCTTCGCCGAGAGATATCCAAGCATACCCATGGGCTGTTAAAACAAGTTTCAGACGCGGTTTTGTGTAAAAAATAGCTGGCGGGTGCGGACCGAAGGGGACAGAAGACAGAAGATAGACGGGGCCGGTTGTGTAACGTGTGAAGTGTCACACGCGGAAGGCAATTTCTTCAGGCGGGAACACGGACGGCAGGAGCAGGGCGGAGAGGCTGCCGACATTGTTCAATCCTTGACACCACAGCGAACAAACAGCAAGCCGACGCAGGTACGGGTGTCAATTCGCCTGGGTCTGCCCCAACACTCCGAATTTTGCACACCGGCTTTCCGGCTCGAGAACGCCACTCTGCTGTGTGGTACTATCTCTCTAACGGGTAGATCAGTCTTTCTGCGAAGGTATGTGTATGTTCTAAAAAGCTGTACGTATCTATCATTAGCATCGGGTCGCATCCCCGGTGCCCTTCGTGAGTCCTCAATGTACAGGATAGATTATCATTACACGCGTCCTCAGGCGTTTCAAATAATGTCTCCTCATCGTTCAGAGTACATGCATTGGACGACGACTACTATAGCGTATCGTCACTTGAGATATCTTGCCGGCAAGAAGACCTCGTCCACCCCCCACCCCTACCCCGCGCCTCCCAACAACACACAACACAAAAAAAAAAAACGAAAAGGCTGCACTCCCCCCGAGTACCTCCTGGGCGGCGTCCCCATGGACGCCCGGCGCGCCGACATGCTCCTTCTCGGCTGTTCCGACGCCCGTCACGCGCTCTTCACCCTCTGGACCTACGGGTCCGAGTGCAGCCGGGAGCGGGGGCGCTGGGACGGGCTCACCTCCGAGGAGCGGCGCCAGCAGAACCAGCAGGACCCCGACGGCCTGCGAACGCTGCGCTTCACCATGAACGACCGGGAGCCGGCCTGCCTGGCCCGCGTGCTGCTGCTGCTCCAGCTCTTTTGCAACAGCCACGATGACTTGGTGAGAGGCTGGGGGAGCGAGCGGGCCGTGATGGTCGGGAGGGGGGGGGTATGCATGTCACGGTGAAGAACGTAATTTTCACGGGTGAAGAAAGTCAGAGTTGTTTTCCCACGCAGTGGTGGCCTGGGCCATTCCCAGGGCTGACAAGGCTGCTGCTGCTGATGTTGTTCCTGCTGCTGGTGCTCTCTCCTTCGACGCGAGAAATGCCATGCAGTGTTTTTTTTTGCCTTTTTCTTCGGTCCGCTTGTTGTCGGTTTCAGTGCTTCAAACGCTGCCAACCTCGTACGTATTGGTCTACATCTCTCCCTCCGTTCTTGTTTGGTTACGGTTGCTTGTTCGTGTTTGTGGTGTGGATCAGCTGAGGGCGTGCTCGCCGAACGCTTCGCCCGAGCAACTACACGCTTACTCGGCGAAAATCGCGCTGTGCTTCAACGCCTACTACAACATCTACGTCGACAACGCCACGCTTCAGGCCACCCAGGTGATCTTGTTTAGCGTTGCTGCCTATCAGCGACGTTATCTACCACCGCTAAACTTCAAATAGTGGTTCATGTACACATAGCGTAAGTATCGATCTAGATCGGTAGGTCAACGACAGGGTTTAGCTCTGTGCTCTGATAATCGTGGGGCTGACTTGCCTCCAGTGCGCCAACGGGTGACCCGCAACGTATGGCAGACATATGGATCCGTACTTAATGCTCGTGTTGCTGGTTATTTTCGCACTGTTGATGTGTGTATGCTGGGCCCGCACATCGCAGACGTTGAGACTATGTTACACTTCCCTCCTGCGTCAACTGTCGTCGTAAGCCGCTGTTTGTCGTGGCTGTGGATGGGCACTGTACGTTATCGAGAGGGTGGGTAGTTGTAGAGGATGATTTTTTGGCGGGGGCACAGGCGGATCTATTTGTGGTTCAGCGTCCTGGCGCCGTCGGGTGCCTCTCGCTTGCGACAGGTGTACCGATACCGATTGGTAGTTTGGCACCTTTTGTTTCTACTTTTTCGGACAACGTGCGATGGCGTGTCTCCAAGCGTCCACAAGTGCGCCAGGTTACACGCTCTTCTGGAGCTGCAGGCGCTGACACCGGCCGGCACCTCTTTGGCCGACCTGCGAGGACACGGGAGAGCATCACGCCATCCTAGATGCCGTGATCATCGTGGTGTGCCCGCTGCCTCTTCTCTTGTCTGCTGCCGCCGTTGAGTTGATGTTGCTGTTCCGGTCGTCTTTCTCGCCGTATCACCTGCGCTTGGCGGCAAGGGCAGGCCGCAGCCAACCAGCTCCTGGAAGCGTCAGCGTCGCCCGCCTCTTGGAGCATGTCTCCCGTCGGATCTATCGCCCACATTGCAGGCCGGAGCACTCTAAAGTAAGCAAGTGAGGGATGGGGGGGGTGTTTCACTTTGCTTGAATGCCTTGGGTCTCTTGGATCTCATCCCACCGGCACTCTTGCGAAGGGAAGCTGCCAACTTTTCGTGTGCTGTTGACCTGCCATACTTGCTGTAGGGATTCCTCCGCGCTGAGGGCGAGGGGGGGAGGGGGGGTACTCGGTGCTGGAGTCTGATGGCTAAACTTTTTGGGGGGCGCGAGGATTCTCTCTACACGTGTTGTTCTACACTTGTTTTTCACGGTGTAACGCATACTCCTCCTGAATTTTAGTATAATTTGCTTCACTCAGCTTCAGAGAGGAGCAACGGGTTCTTCAGTCTGGCTCTTCTTTTATTTTTTCCACTACCTTGCGTCATGTTCGTGTGGGCTTGACGTTCTACTGTAGGAATTCCGAGTTTCCACGAATTGCATTTATTCTTTGCTGTGCCTTTGTTGGGGTGAGCTTATGACTACGGATACCCGTATGTCTTTACCTTGGATGCAGAGGACCAAACGTTTGTTGCTGTGACGACAGCAACAAAAACAGCAACAACACTTGTATGAGGCGTACGTGCGTACGCTGTACGTTCGCTATATTGATGGTGTGTGAAGCACGCGTGCAGCAACAAAAACAGCAATAATACTTGTATGAGGCGTACGTGCACTACAGTGATAGTGTCTGGAGCATGCGTGCTGCGCTCGTTTCGGGTCCGTCGGACGTTGGTCCTAGAACACGGTCTCACCCCCCATATGCCCTTATTGCGGTTCTGCGCCTCCCCCCTACTCTTTGGCTTCGTCCCTGCAGCCGCCTGCGCTGCATGTGGTACGTGTATGCCGATACGAGCATTGTCCAGATCAAGCCGAAGAAGCAATTGGACAAGGAACGCAAGTGAGTGCACGGCTCTCGTCTTGTCTTGTCTTGTCTTGTCTTGTCTTGTCTTGTCTAATTTCGCGTGCGGTTCAAGGGAAAACAGCTAGCGATCGAGAGAGCGAGTGTGCGAGCGACAGTCGCCATTTCTTTGAACATGCACGTTTCCTTTTCGTTCTTTCATGCTGGGAATTGGCGTGGGAGGCGTAGTGCACTGGCAGCGTAATTCAGTTATTTTTCTTCTTGTTCCTTTATTGTCGCGCAGGACCTACCATGATCGAACGGTGTTCCCTTCGAAGAACGCCTCTCCCATCCTCCTGACCGGCGAGGGCCCCGGCATCGCCGCCCCTAAGGCGATGGAGTGGGGCACGGAGATGACGGGCATCCACCGCCAGTACCAGTCATGGGGATACCTCGACCCCTTCCCGGTGCTCCGCGGCGGCGCTAGAAGGTACATACACACAGTATGCCAGATGACGTTCCCCACCACAAACGGTGCAGAGCCAGAGAAAAAATGTCGAAAAGTTGCTGTGAAAACGGTTTGTGAGAATGATGGAGTTGGAAGGGAGGAGGATGACGGTGAAAGCACTACAAAACGAACTAGTGCAATGTAGCAGCCTTGGTAGACGCGTGCAGTTTTCTCCTGTTGTTACCGTTGTTGTCTTTGATCCGGAGAATTACCTAGCCTCCCCCATGCCGCCCTTCACGGGGTCCCAGTTAATGTGCATATAGAAGCGTTTTGAGTTTTCAACAGCACTGAGACTGACGTCTTTTCATTGGTCAGCCGGTTAGCGCGGTCGATGCTAAGGAAAACACACACACTCACGGCAGGTACGAGGGGGGTGTACTCATAGTCGTGCATCCCGTAGTCGTTCGACCGTTGACCTTGCATCCCCACAAAGCGGGGACGGAGCACGCCGGGTTCTCACCGGACCAGGCTCTCACATCACCAAGCGCGAAGCGCCGTGAGATATTCGGCGAGTCGCATGAAGGGTGCGCTGCATCC